TCACACTTAAAAGCTTTGTCACAGAGAACATAGGCCTATCTCTCCTATTGGTGTGATTGACATCCAGCGTTGTTTAAGCCCGCTGTGATTTTGTCCTGTTAATAGGCTTACTAAGTACATTTACTTAAATAGGTAGGCCTACTTGTACTTTACGTCCATCCATCCATCCATCCATCCATCGTCAACCGCTTATCCTGCGTACCGGGTCGCGGGGGGCTGGAGCCTATCCCAGCTGGTATCGGCGAAAGGCGGGGTACACCCTGGACAGGTCGCCAGTCTCGCAGCTTGTACTTTACTTGAATATCTTAATTTCAAGCTACTTTATACTTCTTTTTGCTACACTACATTTATTTAACCGATTGGCTTATAGTTAGTCCTTACAGATTAAAAAAACCCAAAACTAATGAGGCAGACATTATCTAGGAGATCAAATGAAGAGTCAGCAGGAAGCTCCGACGATAAACTGTCAGGAATCATCATCAAAGAAGCAGTCAGGATGCCACCTGAGGTTGTGGTGAGACACATCTGTGCTGGTAAAAAAATGTTACGGTTAAAGAAAAGTAAGGAATTCGACACAGTCACCAGAAACATAGACCTAAAGGCATGCACTTACGAAACTTGAACGTCAGAATATAAAATAAGTAGGCCTAGGCTATGTCATCCACTGAAAAAAATAAAAGATAAATGAGCAGCATGAACATTATGGTGTCACTTTTCACCAGATGAATCCTCCCTTTTTTCCGTCATTCAACCAAGAATGTAAAAATTAGTAGGAATGGTAGTCCCTACCAACATCGACCTCTGAATTTTCTCTAGCATCTATCTCTGGGTAGCTGGCTCTGCGTACCCCTGTCTTGGACACCTTTGCTCTGTCTGGTTCTCATTGTACCACGTAAGTTAATTCCCAAAACATAAGACACAAACGATGAGGGAATACAGTATCATGCTAACCATGTTGACTCAGAAGGGATTATATTAAGTGATATTTGAAAGCAATACGGGAATGCCTGAGAGCCTACTGCATTTTATTCCATTATATTTTGAATTGTCTCCTGCCATCGGAATTGTGTGCTTCTCTTTACACAAATAGATACAAAAATAGATATCTTTACACATAGGCTTAAAGATTTTTCCACCATGAATTGATGCAAAAAGGCAGATATGGGTACAGGGAAAAAATCGCCTGAATGCAGGAAATGAGGTGTTTAATGCCCAGAATTTTCTGAGGGACGACCCAGACACCCGCGTAAGCTCCAGTGTCGAAACAACATATGGCTTTGTATTCAAACTTTATCTCCACAGGGTGGTGGGGTAAAAAATCATGTATTCCGACTTTAAATCCTGCTGAAGTATATTCCACATGAGTGGACAAAATGTTTCAACACCTCAGTCGTAAAGTGGTATTATCAATCAATTATTAAATATACATTTCACGTATTTTCTGTAACCTGTAACAGTACGTTGCATCTTTTATTAACATAGGCTATTATACTTTTATAAAGCGAATAAAAGCATATTTCTGTGAAGGCTATTTGTTGGTGTGAATACACTCACTGGAATGTCCGGATGTGACAGGTTTAATGCGACTGTTACTGAGCTTTTTTAAGTGTCATATTTGTAGGTGATATCACGTGGGAGGAGTGGCTAATTGGTGCTATTTAATCATGGGCCTATCTGTTTGCATCTTGTTGCATTTCATACTCTGGTGCTGCTGTCTGTTAGATTCTCCAAAAAAAAGACTCCCAGATGGTACTGCTGTGGGCTCTCGTGTTGGGTATGCTTTTTCAGCTGGATTTTTAGTTGTGTAAGAGACTGTTTGAAAACAATATAATCATGCTTCTTGTTACATCCTTTCAGCTTGGCTGGCTTGCGGCTTCACCACTGTCTGTGGTAAGTAAGGCTGAGTAATTTTCCTTGATTGTCTGAGCTCCTGGCGCAGGGTCACTCATTGGGTAGCCCCTCTTACAACTGATTGCCTATTGTTTTATGTGATGTACTGGTTCAATTTTTCTCGTCCTGGCTGGGATGCTTTATAAAGTAGTGTTCGCTGCAGCTCAGTTTGCTTGTTTTACTATTGTCGTGGGGTCCAAAAACCAGGATTACACTGTAGGCTACTTGTGGGGTCCCAGTTTTTTAGGGACCAGAATGCTGGACCCCACAAGATTAGGGGGCTTTAGGGGGTCAAGACTTGGTTTTAGGATTCAGGTTAGAATTACGTTAAGGTTAGGTGTAGGGCTAAGGTTAGGTATGTAGTTGTTATGGTAAATCTTACGGTAAGTAGCTGGGGAATTTGTGTGTGTGTGTGTGTGTTTGTGTGTGTGTGTGTGTGTGTGTGTGAGACTAAATACTTTTGCTGCTTCTGTGCGCTGGAAATTAACTTTTCTTTCAGTCTGCATTCTGCACAGCGCATGTCAAATTCGTAGAAAGAAATTAGGACGTGTAGTTATTTTCTTTATTGTATCATTACATGCAGTTGTCTTCTCTTTTTTTCGCCTTGTGTTGAAATTGGAAAAACCCTCAGACATTGTTTGGCGCCTAATGCGTGTGCCTTGCGATGCTATTGCAGCACATTACAAAGGCAACTATTCAACATTTTACCTCAGGCTTTATTGTGGCAAAGTGACATGGGAATGGAGTAGGTGGCATGATCAAAGGGTGGTGTTTTGAAGGGTTGGATTGACATGCAGGTGCCTATAATTTTGACACCTGACATAGGCTATAGCCTAAAGGGATCCTGGTATTAAGGTGGAAATCAACACTGACAATGGCAATATGTTATGTAGCTTATCTATAGCCTATGTGTTTTTATATACCCATATGTGTCTTTATATACCCATTGTGTTTTTCCATATAGTGAATTAGGCTATGTTGATAAAGGTCAGGGTGTCATTGCATTTTACCCAGGACTACAAGCTTGAAGTGTTGTTTTTGGTATAACGTAGCCTCCAAACGGTCACCTCCACAAATTGTTGCCAGTGTAAGTGATTTAGACTATAGCTTATAACTTGGAACTTTTGTGTTTGTTGACAGAGTCTGATGTGGGAGGAAATGCAACTTCTAAAAACGACTGTTACCGGTGAGTAACCTTTCCTGTGTTTGCGTGTGTGTGAACCATAGACTGTATATAAAAAGGTGTGAACATGTATTAGTTAATCAAGTTGCCCATTGTGACTGTGTAAGCAGATTTATGTACATTGCTCAAAACAATTAAGGAAACACTTGTATAATTCAATGAGAACAAAATGATTTGACAACAGTCATTGGAGTTCAAAATCAGCACCTGATTGAGGGCTGGATTCAAAACCACACCAAAAATGTTAAAAAAATGAAATCACAGGCTGATCCAACTTGCGTGACTTTTATCACGGGGACTCATAATGTGACTTAGCAGTGTGTATGGCCCCCATGTGCTGTTTGCTTTCCCGACAACGTTTGATGGATGGTGTCCTAGGGGATCTCCTCCCAGACTTGAATCAGGGCATCCATGAGCTCCTGGACAATCTGTGCCGCTGCTTGGCAGCACTGGATGCACCGAAACACAATGTCCCAAAGGTTCTCAATTGGATTCAGGTCTAGGGAACTTGAGGGCACACTGCCCTCCTCTTCGGGAAACGTCCTTCCTGAGCTTCAGGCATACAGGCGTCCGTCACACCTCCCACCAATTGTACTTCTCTCATCCCAGGGTGCCGCAGTCTGACACAAGGGACCCTTATTCATGAGGGGGGGGGGGGGGGGTTGCTGCCACCCAGAGGACTTTAAACAATGTAGTCAGAATGACTCATGACCTGTGTAGTCTGGACTCCAGTAATCTTGTAGCAGATTTTGATAATGCTGCTGGGGCTGTTCTTGTCTTTCACAGGCAATCCATAAAAACAGCAGCAACTTTCAGTACACAAATGATAAAAACTACATAAGATACTCTAGGAGACATTGAAAGAATTCAGCTTTTGCATCATTTGGATCCTTAGTTGTCCCTGTTTTGAGACTGACTCTATGTCTATATCAAACTTGACACATGGTTCCTAAGTACTTGTACGTCTCTACACTTTCAACATTTTCTCCATTAATGATGGTGGCTTCTGGGTTTAAACATCCAGGAACTGCCTACACACTCTAGCTACATGAGGCGAGGCATTGCTCTGCTCCAGGAGGAGCCCAGGACCCACTGCACCAGCGTAAGGTTTTACAGTGGCTCTGAGGATTTCATCCCGGTAGCTAACAGCATGACTTCTCCAGATTTTTTCACGTCTGTCACATGTGCTCACTGTGAACCTGCTCTCATCTGTGAAGAGAATGAGGCACCAATGGCAGACCTGCCAATTGTGGTGTTCTCTGGTGAATGCCAATCGAGCTACACAGTGCTGCCCTGTGAGCACAGATCCTAGCTAATATCAGGTCAGCTGTTGGGTTGATGCCCCTTTATGGCCTTGTCCATCTCTCCTTGTGTAATGGTCCATCTCCTGGTATTTCATCCATGCTATTTAGACTGTGCTGCGAGACACAGCAAACCTTCTTGCAATGCGTGGAATTGCTATCCTGGAGGTGCTGGACTATCTCTGCAACCTGAATGGGCTGCAGATACCGCCTCATGCTACCAGTAGTGACAAGGACACAAGCAAAATGCAATCAAACAATCAGTCAGGAAGGATAAAGAGAGAGCACCTGCAAAACCATTTGCTTATACGTCCTAACTCGACAGATTGATATTCTTGAAGTTTATTTGACTTGATGTTATACTGTGATGATTAAATGTACCCTTAATTTTATTGAGCAGTGTTTCTGCTTACACCGTCACAATGTGCAGACTTCCTGTGGCGGACAAAGCGCAAGTGCCCATATCATAAATCATTAAAGTTTATGGTGAAGACTTGTTTTAAGGTTAGGGTAAGGTTGGGTTAGTAGTGGTAATGATTAGGTTGTATCTTCAGGAAATTAATGCAGTCAATATAACAATTATATGATATCCTCTGATGTGTGTCGCATGTGTCTTATACACTGAACCATCGCCACCACTTTCAGAGGTTAAGTCCATAGGTTAGGAGCTAGAGGATACATTATGTCAGTGAAGTTCCTCACATGTATGGAAGTATAAACATGTGTAATGACAGGAGGATATAAAAGGGCTATGCATAGGATGCACTAATGCTGTTTTGAAGCTGATACTAAAGTCTGATATTTTCCATATCAAACAATACTGATAAAATCATTGTTTTCCAGCAGCAATCAGAATATCAGTCATGCTTGTCCTTGTATAAGTTGCCAGTGACTATAAACTTTGGTCACAATATATATGATCTCCAGAGGATTATTCCTAATGACGCTGGTGACCCCTCTCCACGTTCCCCAGGTCAAAGACTCAATAGTTGAGGCCATGGCCTCTCAAATTCTAAGCTCAGGTTCACCATGGATTTTGGTCTATCAATTGATTCAGGGTATCCATCCCAATGTTTCCACTAAAAGCTTTTGCCTAGTGTATGTCAGGCTAAAATATCCACTTTGACAAAATAAATGTTTCCTTCCATCTCATTTTATTTACTGAGCTTAATAAAACCATTTCTGTAGTGCCATCCTCTGAGAATAGCAACGCGTTTCGGTAATATTATTAAATTCTCTCAGCCCACCCTCTGTTCTCTTTGGTGTACACTTTTAAGATTGTTGCTGTTGAAAATCCCTAAACCTACCCTGCTGGAATCTTAAAATGTGATCACAGGTCATTTTTTCCCTGTGTAATACATTCATATGCACAGCAAGGGTGTAACTGTTATGTTTAAGTACTGGTATGGGTGTGTATGGGTATGTTTTCACCAAAGTCCATCAGAGGGCAGTATTACAAAGGGTAAGAGGTGAAATGTGCATAGACATGGCAGGAGAAAATTTTAATCAGTAAAATTACTGAATTTTCTATATATTGACCGTTAATGATGATAACTTGGAGTATGTTGTCAATGTCTTGCAGAAAAATCTGTATGGATATGCATTATGACATCTGCGAGGCTGTGTACTGTGAGAATCATCTTCGTCTAGGGGCAGGGCGTTCATGTTGTGGCAAGCAGGCTTTCAACCCTGCAGTAGCCACGTGTTGTAAAGTAACACATGGATACAACATAACAGGTAATGACCACACATTTGTGTCAAATGTCAAGATATGGGAATGTTGATTTTGTGATTTTATATAAAAATGGAGGGGAGCTGTTGAATGTGGTTAATTAAGTAAGATAAGTTAATAATATTTATAAAGGTACTTAATGGCACAAAGAACAAAGGCTTTGTGTGGCAGCTACTCTTGTTTCAACGTCGGTGCTCTTCCTCAGGCAGCGTCAAGATGTTTATGCTGACTTGCCTACAAATAGTGCAAAAGCAGGAAGCATATGATGATTGCATCATAAACATGGCAACCATAATTATAAAACAGCAGTAAGATGCTTACGCTTTCAGTAAGGAGTACTGGAAACACGTTCTTCTTACATATTACACATGATCAGACTCTATTAGTAAAGATAGAAATATTGTAAGAGATAATAATCCTGAGGAAGCCTACTGAATAATTTAACTTACAGATCAAAGAAATTAAGACACAATATCCATCCAATGGAAAAGAACCAGTATCTAGAATTTTATGTAAAAACATTAATGTTTTTTTCCCACTGATCGTTTTATAATTTTGCTATTGATTTATAAATTCACATTAAAATGTACACACTGTACAGAAACAGGTTGTGATAATGAAAATATAAAAACCGAGAATCGAAGAAGAATTTGTCAGCTAAAACCAGCTCTGTGAATATTTTGTGTTTCACTCATCTTCACTTGCTTAATGTACAGAACATATAGTGCAGATGAAGTGCTTTCTAACTGACTTAAGCACCTATTGTAAAAAAAAAAAAAATAGAAGCACTTTCAGCTATTACTGTGGTGCAATTGTCTGTATCTTGATGTCATCTACGTTTTCACAGCTCATGTTACAGAGGGTCTTAGTGAACAGGTATCATCTTGCTGTGGACTGAAGGCCTACAACTCACTCAATGAAATATGCTGCCAGTCAACCATCGTAGTCAAACCAGCGCCTAAGGCCCAATGCTGTGGTAAAGGTGAGTAGAGCTGGACACAAATGATGGATATAAAACATCATATCCATGTTGTTATGGTAATGTATGTCATTCCCACTAAAAATTTGACACTAATTGGCTTTGTTTCCATTCATTTTTAGTAACCGGAAAGGTATAACCAGACACCTATGACGGAGGTGTTTGGGCAGTAACAGTGAGGCTTAGTAGACTACAAAAAGTTTTGATTCGGCTAATGTTGCAACTGTTTTTCCTCAGTTTTAGACAAATGTACATGTAATGCATGTTCTGTTCTGTTCTATTCTATCTAAACATGTGTGGTCTGCAGGATATGCAGTAGGTTGTCAGCTGAGTTGTGGCTGAGATAAAACTTTAAAGAATCATCCTGATCTTTTCCACAGAGGCATTTGATGAAGAGAAGCAGCTGTGCTGTGGTCCGAAAAAGAAAATCCTGACAAGGAACTCCAGTGACCACGAGTGCTGTGGATATGACCAATACAACACGAAGACTCAGTGGTGCTGTGTGGGGGATCGAATACTTGAGATACATCCTATAAATTCCAGTAGCTGTAAAGGTGAGCTCTTATGGCCCTATACACTGTGGGACAACAGCGATCTTACAAGTTTTCTGCATTTCACACTGTGCAAGACGGAGCAATAAAGTCTTGGTTGTTTCAGATGTCAATCTTGAGGCATATTGGATTGAGCAGTGATTGCCCATTGTATCTCAGCTCTATGATGTAAATACGACCCCAAAAAAGCAAGCAGAGACATGTCAATAAACGTGCACTGCTGTTTAGAAAAAGCTGCATAAAACAACTTTCCTACTGATGCTGTTTTTTCTAAATGGCTCTTAGAATAGATACAATCCTGTGTACACATGCCAAAGTGGTATTTGCATGAATACTGTACATCTATGGGTGTTTACAGTGTCGCATTTGGCAAGTGTATTCTATGCATGAACTTAACGGTTCCTTTGCTATGAGAACAATTAGATGGCTAATATTGCCACAAAAATGCGAGATGTGTGAAAGTCCCTGTATACATTGCTACCAAAGTGGTATTTGCATGAATACAGTACATCTATGGGTGTTTACAGTGTCGCATTTGGCAAGTGTATTCTATGTAATTTCATTAACATTAACAGTGAGGCTTAGTAGACTACAAAAAGTTTTGATTCGGCTAATGTTGCAACAGTTTTTCCTCAGTTTTAGACAAATGTACATGTAATGCATGTTCTGTTCTGTTCTATTCTATCTAAACATGTGTGGTCTGCAGGATATGCAGTAGGTTGTCAGCTGAGTTGTGGCTGAGATAAAACTTTAAAGAATCATCCTGATCTTTTCCACAGAGGCATTTGATGAAGAGAAGCAGCTGTGCTGTGGTCCGAAAAAGAAAATCCTGACAAGGAACTCCAGTGACCACGAGTGCTGTGGATATGACCAATACAACACGAAGACTCAGTGGTGCTGTGTGGGGGATCGAATACTTGAGATACATCCTATAAATTCCAGTAGCTGTAAAGGTGAGCTCTTATGGCCCTATACACTGTGGGACAACAGCGATCTTACAAGTTTTCTGCATTTCACACTGTGCAAGACGGAGCAATAAAGTCTTGGTTGTTTCAGATGTCAATCTTGAGGCATATTGGATTGAGCAGTGATTGCCCATTGTATCTCAGCTCTATGATGTAAATACGACCCCAAAAAAGCAAGCAGAGACATGTCAATAAACGTGCACTGCTGTTTAGAAAAAGCTGCATAAAACAACTTTCCTACTGATGTTGTTTTTTCTAAATGGCTCTTAGAATAGATACAATCCTGTGTACACATGCCAAAGTGGTATTTGCATGAATACTGTACATCTATGGGTGTTTACAGTGTCGCATTTGGCAAGTGTATTCTATGCATGAACTTAACGGTTCCTTTGCTATGAGAACAATTAGATGGCTAATATTGCCACAAAAATGCGAGATGTGTGAAAGTCCCTGTATACATTGCTACCAAAGTGGTATTTGCATGAATACAGTACATCTATGGGTGTTTACAGTGTCGCATTTGGCAAGTGTATTCTATGTAATTTCATTAACATTAACAGTGAGGCTTAGTAGACTACAAAAAGTTTTGATTCGGCTAATGTTGCAACAGTTTTTCCTCAGTTTTAGACAAATGTACATGTAATGCATGTTCTGTTCTGTTCTATTCTATCTAAACATGTGTGGTCTGCAGGATATGCAGTAGGTTGTCAGCTGAGTTGTGGCTGAGATAAAACTTTAAAGAATCATCCTGATCTTTTCCACAGAGGTTTTTGATAAAGAGAAGCATCTGTGCTGTGGTCCAAACATGACAATCCTGACAAGGAACTCCAGTGACCACGAGTGCTGTGGATATGACCAGTACAACATGAAGACTCAGTGGTGCTGTGTGGGGGATCGAATACTTGAGATACATCCTATAAATTCCAGTAGCTGTAAAGGTGAGCTCTTATGGCCCTATACACTGTGGGACAACAGCGATCTTACAAGTTTTCTGCATTTCACACTGTGCAAGACGGAGCAATAAAGTCTTGGTTGTTTCAGATGTCAATCTTGAGGCATATTGGATTGAGCAGTGATTGCCCATTGTATCTCAGCTCTATGATGTAAATACGACCCCAAAAAAGCAAGCAGAGACATGTCAATAAACGTGCACTGCTGTTTAGAAAAAGCTGCATAAAACAACTTTCCTACTGATGCTGTTTTTTCTAAATGGCTCTTAGAATAGATACAATCCTGTGTACACATGCCAAAGTGGTATTTGCATGAATACTGTACATCTATGGGTGTTTACAGTGTCGCATTTGGCAAGTGTATTCTATGCATGAACTTAACGGTTCCTTTGCTATGAGAACAATTAGATGGCTAATATTGCCACAAAAATGCGAGATGTGTGAAAGTCCCTGTATACATTGCTACCAAAGTGGTATTTGCATGAATACAGTACATCTATGGGTGTTTACAGTGTCGCATTTGGCAAGTGTATTCTATGTAATTTCATTAACATTAACAGTGAGGCTTAGTAGACTACAAAAAGTTTTGATTCGGCTAATGTTGCAACAGTTTTTCCTCAGTTTTAGACAAATGTACATGTAATGCATGTTCTGTTCTGTTCTATTCTATCTAAACATGTGTGGTCTGCAGGATATGCAGTAGGTTGTCAGCTGAGTTGTGGCTGAGATAAAACTTTAAAGAATCATCCTGATCTTTTCCACAGAGGTTTTTGATAAAGAGAAGCATCTGTGCTGTGGTCCAAACATGACAATCCTGACAAGGAACTCCAGTGACCACGAGTGCTGTGGATATGACCAGTACAACATGAAGACTCAGTGGTGCTGTGTGGGGGATCGAATACTTGAGATACATCCTATAAATTCCAGTAGCTGTAAAGGTGAGCTCTTATGGCCCTATACACTGTGGGACAACAGCGATCTTACAAGTTTTCTGCATTTCACACTGTGCAAGACGGAGCAATAAAGTCTTGGTTGTTTCAGATGTCAATCTTGAGGCATATTGGATTGAGCAGTGATTGCCCATTGTATCTCAGCTCTATGATGTAAATACGACCCCAAAAAAGCAAGCAGAGACATGTCAATAAACGTGCACTGCTGTTTAGAAAAAGCTGCATAAAACAACTTTCCTACTGATGCTGTTTTTTCTAAATGGCTCTTAGAATAGATACAATCCTGTGTACACATGCCAAAGTGGTATTTGCATGAATACTGTACATCTATGGGTGTTTACAGTGTCGCATTTGGCAAGTGTATTCTATGCATGAACTTAACGGTTCCTTTGCTATGAGAACAATTAGATGGCTAATATTGCCACAAAAATGCGAGATGTGTGAAAGTCCCTGTATACATTGCTACCAAAGTGGTATTTGCATGAATACAGTACATCTATGGGTGTTTACAGTGTCGCATTTGGCAAGTGTATTCTATGTAATTTCATTAACATTAACAGTGAGGCTTAGTAGACTACAAAAAGTTTTGATTCGGCTAATGTTGCAACAGTTTTTCCTCAGTTTTAGACAAATGTACATGTAATGCATGTTCTGTTCTGTTCTATTCTATCTAAACATGTGTGGTCTGCAGGATATGCAGTAGGTTGTCAGCTGAGTTGTGGCTGAGATAAAACTTTAAAGAATCATCCTGATCTTTTCCACAGAGGCATTTGATGAAGAGAAGCAGCTGTGCTGTGGTCCGAAAAAGAAAATCCTGACAAGGAACTCCAGTGACCACGAGTGCTGTGGATATGACCAATACAACACGAAGACTCAGTGGTGCTGTGTGGGGGATCGAATACTTGAGATACATCCTATAAATTCCAGTAGCTGTAAAGGTGAGCTCTTATGGCCCTATACACTGTGGGACAACAGCGATCTTACAAGTTTTCTGCATTTCACACTGTGCAAGACGGAGCAATAAAGTCTTGGTTGTTTCAGATGTCAATCTTGAGGCATATTGGATTGAGCAGTGATTGCCCATTGTATCTCAGCTCTATGATGTAAATACGACCCCAAAAAAGCAAGCAGAGACATGTCAATAAACGTGCACTGCTGTTTAGAAAAAGCTGCATAAAACAACTTTCCTACTGATGCTGTTTTTTCTAAATGGCTCTTAGAATAGATACAATCCTGTGTACACATGCCAAAGTGGTATTTGCATGAATACTGTACATCTATGGGTGTTTACAGTGTCGCATTTGGCAAGTGTATTCTATGCATGAACTTAACGGTTCCTTTGCTATGAGAACAATTAGATGGCTAATATTGCCACAAAAATGCGAGATGTGTGAAAGTCCCTGTATACATTGCTACCAAAGTGGTATTTGCATGAATACAGTACATCTATGGGTGTTTACAGTGTCGCATTTGGCAAGTGTATTCTATGTAATTTCATTAACATTAACAGTGAGGCTTAGTAGACTACAAAAAGTTTTGATTCGGCTAATGTTGCAACAGTTTTTCCTCAGTTTTAGACAAATGTACATGTAATGCATGTTCTGTTCTGTTCTATTCTATCTAAACATGTGTGGTCTGCAGGATATGCAGTAGGTTGTCAGCTGAGTTGTGGCTGAGATAAAACTTTAAAGAATCATCCTGATCTTTTCCACAGAGGTTTTTGATAAAGAGAAGCATCTGTGCTGTGGTCCAAACATGACAATCCTGACAAGGAACTCCAGTGACCACGAGTGCTGTGGATATGACCAGTACAACATGAAGACTCAGTGGTGCTGTGGGGGATCGAATACTTGAGATACATCCTATAAATTCCAGTAGCTGTAAAGGTGAGCTCTTATGGCCCTATACACTGTGGGACAACAGCGATCTTACAAGTTTTCTGCATTTCACACTGTGCAAGACGGAGCAATAAAGTCTTGGTTGTTTCAGATGTCAATCTTGAGGCATATTGGATTGAGCAGTGATTGCCCATTGTATCTCAGCTCTATGATGTAAATGCGACCCCAAAAAAGCAAGCAGAGACATGTCAATAAACGTGCACTGCTGTTTAGAAAAAGCTGCATAAAACAACTTTCCTGCTGATGCTGTTTTTTCTTAATGGCTCTTAGAATAGATACAATCCTGTGTACACATGCCAAAGTGGTATTTGCTTGAATACTGTACATCTATGGGTGTTTACAGTGTCGCATTTGGTAAGTGTATTCTATGTCATTTCATGCTGTATATTGATTGGTCGGTTTATAGATGGCACATGGGGAGAATTTCATATTTTTCCGATTTTGATTGACAACCAAAGATTTGACCACATTTCTTTCACGATTATACATTTTTATCTGAGACATGAAAAAAGCAATGTATACAGGGACTTTCACTCATCTCGCATTTTTGTGGCAATATTAGCCATCTAATTGTTCTCATAGAAAAGGAACCGTTAAGTTCATGCTCATTAAGGTGTGTGGTGCCTGTATGTTGACAAGATATTTGCCTTCACAGCTCAGATCCCAGGGTCAACTCTCTGTGGACAGAAGGCCAACAACACACTTAGCGAGCTATGCTGTCAGTCAGCTGTTGTAGCCGAACCTGCACCAAAGGCTCGATGCTATGGTAAAGGTGAGTAGAGCTGAAAAAAAAATCACAAGATAAGCCTTTACATTTCAGTGAAATCATGTAGTACTTCAAAGAAGTATGCATAAGATCTACACACGATGAATCATGTCAACTTAGTTGTGACTGAGGTAAAAGTGATACAGTTTAAAGAAATCATCCTGATCGTTTCCACAGAGGCGTTTGATGAAGAGAAGCATCTGTGCTGTGGTCCAAACATGACAATCCTGACAAGGAACTCCAGTGACCACAAGTGCTGTGGATATGACAATACAACACGAAGACTCAGTGGTGCTGTGTGGGGGATCGAATACTTGAGATACATCCTATAAATTCCAGTAGCTGTAAAGGTGAGCTCTTATGGCCCTATACACTGTGGGACAACAGCGATCTTACAAGTTTTCTGCATTTCACACTGTGCAAGACGGAGCAATAAAGTCTTGGTTGTTTCAGATGTCAATCTTGAGGCATATTGGATTGAGCAGTGATTGCCCATTGTATCTCAGCTCTATGATGTAAATACGACCCCAAAAAAGCAAGCAGAGACATGTCAATAAACGTGCACTGCTGTTTAGAAAAAGCTGCATAAAACAACTTTCCTACTGATGCTGTTTTTTCTAAATGGCTCTTAGAATAGATACAATCCTGTGTACACATGCCAAAGTGGTATTTGCATGAATACTGTACATCTATGGGTGTGTGGTGTCTGAACAATAATGCTGCGATGATGTGTTGAGAAGAAATCCGCTTGACACTGTTCTTGATCATAAAAGTTTTATTACATCAAGGAGTTCAGCATCAATTACAAGCTCTGCAGCAGTTTGGAGAGTGACCCAGCCCGATGGACACTCTGTCTCTCTGTACATAAAACATAGCTTATATAGGACATGTTAAGGCATCTGTTAGACACCATATAAGGGTCTGAGTCTGCAAACTAAGGCACCAATCCATATAAGGGCACAGTTCTATAGGATAAGTGTAGACATCTGTTAGACACCATATAAGAGTCTCCACATAACCACTGACCTCTGCTCTCCCCTTAAAAGGTCACTAATCCTCTATCCAGCTGCTACAGTGCTATGTTAAGCTGTTATGCATCAAATGCACATATGTTATACACCACAGGTGCTTACAGTGTCGCATTTGGCAAGTCCTCCTGATCATTCTGATCGTTTCCACAGAGGTTTTTGATAAAGAGAAGCATCTGTGCTGTGGTCCAAACATGACAATCCTGACAAGGAACTCCAGTGACCACGAGTGCTGTGGATATGACCAATACAACACGAAGACTCAGTGGTGCTGTGTGGGGGATCAAATACTTGAGATACATCCTATAAATTCCAGTAGCTGTAAAGGTGAGCTCTTATGGCCCTATACACTGTGGGACAACAGCGATCTTACGTTTATTACAAGTCTTGTGAGATTGGATAAAACCCTATGAAATAAGTTACTTTAAATTATCACATAGACATGTTGGTCTTAGTAGACCCTACTTCTCATTATCTACAAGCCTGTCAATGATGTTTAAAACAGACGTGAACTAACTTCAGACTGAGTGCACTGAATGTTATCTGTTTTTGTTGCTCAGGTTGTCCAGTCTTCAGACCCAGAGAGTAGCAAAGGCAAATGTCTAAGCAGGGTTTAGTCTAATCTTGTCTAAAGTTGAAAAAATGCTTTTTGTTCTGTTGTAATGAGTCATGCATTCAAAATACTTTGTGCTATGTGTCATCACACAGGTGTGCAACCACAGGTAAGAAACAACCCTTTATCTTCAGTTTACATGATTTACCTCTCTGTTATGAGGGTGCTCTGTGAAATATTTTCATTTTTGTGTGTGTGTGTGTGTGTTTGTGTGTATTTTTGTTTAGAAAGTTCAGGACTCTCAACCCAATTGGTGAGTCAACCAAAGGTTGTCACACGTTGACACCTATAACCATGAAATCCTCCTCCACAGTAAAAATTGTGTTGTTAAATATTGAACCAGTTTTGGTCAATGTAGTAGCAACGCAAAACTTGACCCAGTACCAATGAATCTTTTTGACCCAATTTTGAATATTACGTAGCCATTTACATGTTACTAGGTTATTGACCCAGTGTCAAACACAACAAGCTCAAGTTTTACCTTAAACCTGTCACAAATGTATTGTTTGTTGTACAAAACAATGTGCATATGACATTCTAACCCTAACCCTATTTCTAGGAATGTGTAATGTCTCATCAGCATGCTCAAGATTAACAGAACAGAGACCCATTTATACAAAAACTGCTGCATATTGCCACCAGAGGTCAAAAATTCCACAGGGAATCTTTAACCTAGTTATTGTATTAGTGTTAATATGATCTTTAGTATGTTAAATCAGAGTCATGCACATTTTTGACACTCTTGGTAATTTTACTGTACAAAGAACTGTGTGTCAGTGCTTTATAGTGTTCATGTGATGTGGACTGCTTTTGTGTTTATTCTTGCTTATCTTTGCACATCCACAGCACAAGTCTCTATTACAATCCAAATGACTTTCGCTGCTGTGAGAGAAACCAGACAAAGTCTCATTGGTGCTGCGCCCCAGGTATGACAGTGGGTGTGTTTGTTGTGATGAGTGTTTTGAGTGTTTGCATGTGTCAGTTGCTATCTGATGGTACATTATTTCATCAGTGTTGTATCTGCTACGTTTGAATTTTTATTTTATACAACGTGAAGTACACATGTAACAGGTGGTCCAACAAGGCAGTTAGTGATTCATTTATTCTGACATTTGTTTGTTGGATACATTAAGTAACCAGGTGAAAACACTGACTACTCAAACCAAAACGAAAAGTAGACCTTAAACAGTGGATGGTTAGACTGTACAGTATAATATCAATTGTAAAGCATGTCAGCTTGTGCGATGAATGCGTATAGGGCCAAAGAGCATAAGCAGTTTCCCCTTTCCCGAAATGAACTTGGCACAAGATTGATCACAATTTAAAATATATATTAACTAGCATGGTTAAACAGCATTCTCTCATCAAGGAATCCAGATAACCATGTAAGTAATTATAAATTCATCCACATATTTAATTTTTCTCCTAAGGCGAGTATTAGACACGAAAACATCCCAATCGCTAATTTTGTTGTAAACACAGAGCTTATTTGGCACATACAGGAATGGCTGGTGGTGATGAACATCTGGAAAATTCTTTGTGAAACTAGTGGTGCGTTCCATTTACCTCAGAAGTCGGAGGTCGGAGCTGGGAATGACGTCACACCTGAGTTGATGGCATTCCAGTTACAAGTCAAAAACCTCGCTCGGGCAGCCATTGTTTACAACTAGCCAGGGGTGCGTTTCCCATACAACAACGGAAGGTAGCATGAAACTATCTTTGGACGATGCATCGCTAAACTAACAAACATCTGAAGTATGACCGTTTCCCAAGACTGTTGTACCTTGTTGGTACCACCGTTGTTCAGAAGGTCTCTCACTCGGCCCATAGACTGCACCACCTAACATGCATGCGCAGTCTGTGACGCCGTGCATGCGGCCCTCATGTCACCCTAGACCAATGACATGTCAGCAATTAAGTGCCTCAATCGCAGAGACAGTTTTCAGTCTCCCTGCTTACAGTTGCAACCGTTCAGGAGGACACTGTTGTCACATCTTTTGTCTCTAGTTCAGAGGAGTTTTGCTGGAGTTCTGGATAATGCTTCATTCTTATTCTGGACTGTGTTTTTTCCTTTCCATATTCCGTGTGCGTCCTTGAGAAGTGAGTATAGTGTCTAGTTTGTTTGATTTATCATGTGTGATGCTGCCGTGTGTTTATCACCCTGTCTCACTTCGTAGCATATATTATATATTGCTGTGTTTGTTTTCATGTTTATAATCAATATATACATAGTTTAGGTCGGACTTTCCCTCCCGTTAATTAGTACTGCATGTGCTGACGGGTCAGTAAGGGGCCGTCACGAAATTACCTAGTCTGTGTGTCATTAGTAAGCCTATGCAACAGAGCCTTTTCAGTCCACGTGTGTAAAAATATTGAAGCTCCCTTATTTAGTTTGTGTTTTCTCTTTAGAAGTTATCCATCTTTGTTCATTTGTCCTCATATCTGTCATTATTGACACTTGTTTATGTCATATTATATTGCTTTTATTCATTACTATTTCAGATGTCTAAAATGTCATATTTGTTTATTCTCTTTACAGTTACCGCACA